CATCATTCAACAACGGGGTTTTCATTCTTAGTAATAGGGCTGAGCAAGGAATCCGTGAAATCCGTAATCCGATCCAGTCCAGTCCAATCCGATGGGTTTGGATTGGTTTTTTGAATCCGTGGTTCGGTTCCGGATTGAACAATTAAAAATCCGTAGTCCACGGATTGGTTCCGGATTGAACCCCACGGTTCCGGATTGGAACCGATCCGAACCGTATACAAGTAGTCTATATTTTTATTATACATCCTCCCCATAGTATCTTCTCTTATTCCATATAAAACCTAAACTCAAACCTAAATCCGCATAATACCTTCTTTTATAACTTTTGTTTGTTAGTTTTTAGTTTTAATTTGTAATGGTTTAAATACTTATGATGAAACCAATTTTCTTATGGTTGTTTAAATTCTAGAACAGTATGTCGCTATTATAGAAAGACATGCTGCTATTGTGGAACTAATAGAGCGCTATGTTTATGTTTTTATGAAATTAAAGTGTTATATATTAATTTTTCTGTTATTTAATTATGTGAATCCGTGGTCCTAAACCGATCCAATCCGTGTTTAAATGGATTGGTTCGGATTGGTTCCATGATTTAAACGGATTGGATTGGTTCCAATTTTTTAGGAACCGTAAATAATGGATTGGTCCTGGTTTTACTCCCAATCCGGTCCAATCCGGACCATGCTCACCCCTACTTAGTAATATCTCAAAAGATATGAAATGACAATAGCCAACAACAACCAAGTACATCATCCTTCTCAATACATCAACCAATATTTTCTAAATTCCCAAATTCACAAGTCTAGAGGGTTTCCATATTTAGGCCAAGTTTGGCATACTTTAAATAATCCATCTTTTTATCTTTTTTCCATCACATCACTTCTCTACTTTTCTGCACATCTTTTCGTAAAACGACAAAAAATACACTTATTTAGGTCATCCCAAACAACTCCTTAATTTCGGGCTTTCCCCAAAGTAGGTATCCAAATACGATTTGTTATAATAAAAATAGATTTGATAAATAACAATAGTGAAAACCCACCCAAGTCACCAAACCCTAACCTAAAAACACATGCTCTTTCCAAATCAACAACAACCATAACATCAATATATAGATTTTATATTGAAACTAACACAAATATACTAATAAACTCATATAGAGTCAATGAAATAGAAACCTATCTCTTAAAGAGAAGCGGAGAAGATAGAAGCAACAATGAACATGATCAACTATTGGACGAGATTAAAATGATGCTCCCACCAAGCTCTACAATACCCGAGAAAGAGATGGAGATCAAATCCAAGCTTAGATGCCTCAAAACCAAGGTTGAAGCTCTTAAAACTAGGTCAAAATTGCGCGCGTGCGTGCAAGAGAGAGAGAGAGAGAGAGAAAGAGAGTAGAAAGTTGGATAAAAAGTGATATTTTCGTGCACTGCTATATTTTTATAGAGAACAGACTGCGAGAGCGATGGTCTTGATCATGGGTGCAAAATACACAGTCACCAGCAAGACTTAACTCTTTGCCAGCGCAGAACTACACACAAACAAAAGTATTAGAAGGTGGTATTGGTCGCAAGCGCTATCGCGGGAGCGAACCCAACTCGTGGTCGCGACATGCATATCGTGGGTGCGACCATGCAAATCGCGAGCCTCTATTGTGGTCTATCGCTGGTTATGCAATTTCTCAAGGTCTAAGGACCAGAAGGTGTGTATTGGTTGCGGCTTAGTTGTGGGTGCAATACATATACTGCAGGTGCGATCATGCCCAAAATAGATTATCACTCTGTTTTCCTAGAACAGTTCGAAGTGTAAATAATAACTCCCAACAATATGCAAAGTACCAAAAAGGAGTAAACAAGATAATAACAACATCACTCATCCATTTACAAGCCCACAAGTGTGTCAGGCATCCATACAAGTGGGTTTCAAGTTAGATTTTAAAATCGGGACATTTCAAATACATGCTTTAAAATCTCTACAAAATTCATAAAATTTATGTAATAAAATACCACTTATCCATCTATAAAATCATATTAAGAAAAATTAAAGAAATCTTTACCTCAAATTAAAGAAGAGAAGAAAGAAACTTGAAAATCCAAAATGCTCCAAATAGCGATCAGGTCCAGTAAGATCAAAGCCCTTGACACACTCTACAACTTTAATACTCATATTTTTTTTTATCAACTTGCACTCTAAGTGGGTTAGACTGGAGGATTTGTATGTTAAATGTAAAAAATTTACAAAGAGAGAGAAAAAAGAGTTTGAGAGAGAAGAGAAAAATGAGAGAAGAAAAGTGGGAACAAAAGAGGAAAGGAGAAATAAATGAAGCCCTCAAACCGATTGATTGCTCCAAAGAGATTGATCGCCAAGCGATCGAAGCATTTTGTTGAAAAACTATCCCAATAATACAAATAGAGCAGTCAATCACACCAACATATGCAATTGATCGCCTCGAGTTGGATCGACCCCCATTTGATCGCAACATTCTATTTTTACACTATATGAAATTCAAGTATGGTGATCGATCGCTCTTCAATGCTATTGATCACTCTGTTGCCAATAATACCAACTTCTTATGCACCAATCCACACGTGTGAGACAACCCCACTACATGTGCAACCACACCTACCCAAGTTTGATTTCTATAGAGGGGCTTCTATACTTCTATTTTTCGTCCTTACACCCAAAACTCGAATATTAAAGAAGGTATATGCTAAACGTGAATTTACACTGATTCGATCACAATCATCAAAGCAAAATCTAACATATCAAGGGTCCAAAAACGTATCAGGATGTTCATATAAGTGGCCTCAAATCGGCTTTAAGGCTTGGGACACTACAATTATAAATGTTAATTAACTTCTTCCTTTGGGTAGGGATAATTCTAAGACAATTTTATTGTGCCATATGTATTATGCAATTTGATATTTTTACCCTTTTTAACCAAATTACAAATCCCACCTTTCTATTTTTAATCCCTTTCTTTCACATTCAGTCTCTCTATTTTCCCTCATCTCTCATAATAATGTCATGATCTAGTTTTATATTATTTTTTTTTTCTCTTTAAGGTTCTATTTGCTTTTTATACTTCTTTTGTCAAGCATCATTTATTCTTCTATGATTTTCCTTTCTTAGCTCAGATTCAACATAATATATAAATATATTTTTTTTATGCTTTTCTCAAACACAACTGAAAATATAGTTATCTATTTTCATTAACAAACCCATTATCTTCCGTCACTATATAGCAGACTATACATTCATCTAATTTGGTTATCGTCTCTCTCATTTATTATTAAAAAACTTTCTATATATTAAACACACAAAAATTATGAAAAGAAAAAGAAATTAATGGTTGTTGAATATATAAAATTCACAGGAAAAACTTACTATATATTGATTGAAATGGTTTTGATTTTACTTACAAAAAGAGTGCCCTATTATCCATCCTCACACCTCCTCTATTTGCCCACCATAAGGGGGTTAGGGTTGTTACAATGCTATGGTAAGGGGAATTGGGGTTGGTATGGGAGGGGAGTAGAAGGGCTAAGATTGGGCGAAGGGAGTTGGAAAAGAGAGTTGGTGGTGGGAAAATGCAGTTAAAACCATCAGGGCTCAATTTTGAGTTGGTGCTTGGTCAACTCATTCCAGATGTGGAGAACGTTGATTTAGATTTGACTTTGGCGCCATCGAAGGTGGATGACCGGCTGGCCCCACCATTAGTAGAAAGCTAGCAAGCACTTGTAGTTGTTGATGTATTTCTGGAAAGGGAAGAGATAGCATCATATAGTGATTGCCTTCCTCGGGGGGATTTCTTCCTATGCTTGTTGGCTAAATAGAGTTTCCTTTCACACGTGCATTGAAACCAGGGTCTTCTACTCCTCTTAGGCTAGACCTGAAGTCTCTTGTTTGAACCTCATTCTCCTACTTAAATAAGGCTTGAATGGTGACATAAAAGCCTTGGAACAGCTGTCGCTCCTAATTCGGGCTATGGAGAGGCGAGCAACTATGCTTCCTCGCTTCGCCAAGAAAAACATTTCTTTTTTGGTAAAGGGCACGCTACAGGCCTACACTTGTTTCTAAACGAGAATCTCCAGCTTTTTGGCCATATCTTGACCCTTTTTACGGGGGGCAGAAAGGCTAGTAAGTTCATTCCCTTTGAACTATGGGTATGGTCTTTGTGAAGGCCTTTAATGGCTCTTCATTGTTGGTTTCCCTTTGGGTGTAATGAAAAGCTTGGGGGTGTTACCACAGTAAAGAAGTGGTTATGGATAGGTCTACTAAGGGAGGAATGGGTGCCATGGTAGCAACATTAAGGGTGGGGATTATAGCGAGCAGAGGAAGACAATAAGGGTGTTGTTGGGGATTCCATCCTTTTGCAATGGTGGATTCCTCCCGTTTGCAATTTCTTTTCTTTTATTTGTTTACAAATTATTTGCTTCGAACCTCATTTTTTTGTAATTTTTTTTCTTGGGTACAAATATTTTTTGAAAAATATAATTGTTTCATATTCCTTGGAAGTGAAAATTGTATTCTCCCTTTTGACGATTATTATAAAATCAAGTTTAAAAATATGACATGATTGATTCACTAACAATTGGTCCATAAATAGTCACATGAGTGGTAATGAAACAAAACTAATATCACTCCAGTTTCCTTTGAGAAGCTAGGTTTATCATAAAAAACTTAAAAAATTATTATAAATTGTCAAGTTATTTCCTCTACATATTTTTTTTTTTATAAAAAATTAAAAATTTATTTAAAATAGTCTTCCTGAATGAAATACAAAAAAGCTAAGCAGAACACCCTATTTTTTACACGTGGCTATCCAAAAAAGGGAAGTGCATAAATTTTTCAAACATCCACATGAACCCACTAGCAAAACTCCCTATTAAAGGTCTCAACTCGTGTGCTTCTAGGGCATGTAACGCGTGCAACATCGAGCTAAGCATACTATCTCAGCTCCAAGAAAAGGCCCAAGCCCAGCAAGGTTTAGCTCATCTCTCTCTCTCTCTCTCTCTCTCTCTACAAAAGAGCACAATCAAATACAGGGCCCGAGCTCCGCCGTCTCAGCCATTTCTCTTCTGCTCTTCCTCTCCTCAAAACCTCAGCCTCTCTCTCTACTTTCTCTCTCTTAATCATCTGTATCTATATACAATCATATACACATATATACGTATACGTATCTATATCTATATACGTATGTATCGTATATCTCTGTTTCTCCTTTAATCATACAGTTGAGCTGCGATTGGAGCTTTTTGCTTACTGGTAATACCACTCAGTTATCTTTCTCTTCATTGTTCAAATTCATCAAATGCTTTCATGTTTATACACGCACATAGATACATGTATTTGTGCTTATCTGCAATGTTTTATGTGGCTTTTTTGCTATGTACCGATGCTTTGTTAAAAATAAATCATTGATGGTTTGATTCTATTTGCAATTTTTTTTTTTTTTTGATGCTGGTTTATTTGCTAAATCACTTCGGCTCCATTTGTTTCGACTTAAAATCTTTTACACAATTAGCTTAGTAAAAGGTCGTAAATATCATAAATGACCCTTTATTGAATTGAAATTTCTCTTTTAGGCAATAAAATATTTTTATGCCGAAAACAAAAACAAAAACAAAAATATTTTTTATGTATAAAATCAATTTATAAGAAAAATATTTTTTTATGTAAAATACTTTGAAACAAACGGAGCCTTCACGTGTTATTGTTTTTTTTTTGTTATTTTTTTCCGTATGGAGACGATGGAGATTTCAAGTTTACTTTTCTTTCATTTGTTTAGGTATTTTAGGTCTCGTTATATATATATAGCGATTATGAGTTTGGAAATACAGGTAATTTACACGTGTTTTTGCGTGTCTTATTTGTTTGGTTTAATCTGAAAGAGGAAAGGGAATTGGTTCACTTTGTTTTGAATGTGTCTTTCATGATGCCGCTTATGAGCTTAGAACTTTGTTTAGTTTTTTTTAGGTCTTGTTGTATATATAGCAATTATGAGTTTGAAGCTACAGGTAATTTACACGTGTTTTGCATTTTTCTCGTGCCATATTTTTTTTGATTTAATCTGAAAGAGAAAAAGGACTATGTTCACCTTGTTTTGAATGTGTTTTTCACTATGCTGGTTATGAGCTTATAATTTTGCTTGAAATTCAAATGTTATACTTATGTCATTTTATGGTCATATTATTAGTAATAAGAAGTAGAAATGGCCGGAAAATCGAACAAGGGGAAGAATCGAAGGGGGTCTCATAATACTACGAATGCTGTGGAACCAGCCAATTCTTCTGTTCCTTTGAAAGATAACGTGAGTTCTGCAGAGTCATCCAAAGCCAATGCTAATGGGAACATGCCTCTTAGTGAATCAGCTAGCACGGAGACAGAGGCTAAGCCGTTGGAAAATGCAAATTCAGAGAATCAGGCTAAGCAAGGTGATGTTAGTTTCTTGGATGTTCTTTTATCTGTATCATAGCAACTAATCAATCTATTATGCTTATGAGCATACTATTTTGGTTGTGATCTTCGTGTTATTATTTTTTTCACTTTTACTGCTAGGTTGATTAGAAGACTGAAATTACGTATAAATTAATAAAATAAGCACCAAGTATCAAATCCAATGAAGTTTTTCCAGATTTGTTGGCTTGCTAGACAGACAAGGAGTTTTGACCTAGTTGGAATTCCTAAAAATGATACATTGCTTCATGGATTGTTTGGAATTGCTGCACTAAGTTGGAAAGCAATGAAGGCTTGTGTCTTAAAATTGCATTATTTGATAGTCTAGTATTTATAAGGAATAGTTGTGACTTTATAGGAATGCATAATTGCATATACGTATATATGCATACATATATATGTAAAACGTGCAGATTCATAGATTTTCATTTATATATTGAATAAACTTCGTCATCATTTTTTTGTACCTTGCCATTCAATTTAAATGCTTGAAGGTGCAAAAGGCATGCCTAATGAAGTGCCTATATGGTACATGCATCTACCTATCTATAAGTGCTAGTTTGTGCTCATGTGCATGCATACATGCACAAGTGGACACCTACATTTGTTCATACATATATTTGTATATGTGTACCTAGGTATGTACATGCTTATGCTTGCACACTTGCACTCATGGATACTTGTATATGTGTTCAAGCATGTATGCATAAATTGACAAGAAGATTCAAGTCGAAATTCCAGACCCAACAATAATAAAAACCAGAACGATCATAAGTAGCAACTAAGCATGTAATACACTATTGTGTTTTTTTGGAAAACAGGGATACCCTTGATATTTAAAGGTTCACTTTTGGATTTTTCTGGGAGAGATGAGATTAGAGTTCATGGTTGGTTTTGTTTTTGATAATGTGCAATCATCATATGCGTGTGTGTTTTGCCCCTTTGCTCGTTTTAATGAGTTGCTTTATTAATAAAAAAATTATTAGTACTTAAGCAAGCAAGCTATGTGATATAGGACAAGGGTAAAAAAGAAATGTTATGGAAGCTCTTTTTGAGGGTTTTTCCCTTTCCATTTCCTGGTGAACAGTTTAGAGGCTAATGATGTAGGTAGAATTAGTATGTTTGTTATGTTTTAGTACCATAGGAGTTAGTTATGTCTTTTATTCTATAAATAGGTGGTTAAGCTCTTCTATGATTCAGTTTGATGGAATTTGGAATTGTATTTCACAGCTTAGAGCTCTTGTATCTCTGTTCAGAGATTTTCTCTCTAATGAAATCCATTTATTGGTTTGGCTCTATCAGCTAATAGAGTCCAAATGTAGGAGAAGAAGAAGAAAGAGAAGAACGAAAGTAATGTGTCACTTATTATTTTCTTAGATTTCATACCTATGGTTGAAATTGTGCATTGGCGATTTGATGAGAGCTTCACAAATTTTTGAAATTCCCGAATTGATCTCTATTTGATTTAAAGGAGTAAAAGATATCTTAGGTTGTACAATAACAACTTAGAAAACCAAGACCTTTTGTCTTAAGGGCTATTTGATAAAACTGAAAATCAAGCAGTAAAAGTTTTTAATATTGAATTTTCATGTTGAAATATTTGTATTGAATTTTGAAAATTTGGAATTTTAATGTAACTTGTCATTTAAGATTAAAATTGAGAACTACAATCTACTTAGGTTTGTAGGGTAGTAACGGAATGCGCGGAATCAAAATCTCTATGAGTTCCATTACCATTAATGTGATTTCTATGTCAACCTATTCAAGTGTTTGCAATGGTGTCATGAATCTTAAATGATAATTATAAGATATTAAATATTGTGGGACCATCTTACTTAAAAAAAATAATGTGGGCCTTTCTTTCTTTCTTTTTTGTTGTTGTTAACAAGTTAGGTTAGGAATATGAGATTCCTATGGAGTCATGTGGGAATGGGATTCCCTCAGGCTTGGGTAATCTCCATACTAAACGATGGAATGGAGGAAATATGGAACAAGATTCCCATTCCTGTAATCCAAACATGGCTGTAGCGTATTTAGCATTAACAAATAGTGTTTTTTTTACCTAAAAGTAATAGACCTTTGATTTAGCTTTCATTTATAAGTGCTGGGTGATTAAGTGTTACAGTTATCAAATGCACTTAATTGCAAGATCGCTGAATATGTCAAATTTTACGTACTCACTATGTTATGGAACATTCTTTTAGAAAGCCTATGTAAACTAACTAAAAATCATATTAAAGACCTATGGCCAATCACTAAAACTCGTGCTAAGGCCCCGTTTGGGGACTTACCTTTTTAGCCAAAAAGTTAAAAAGTTACCCTTTTAGCCAAAAAGTCAACAACTCATACCAAAAAGTCAAAGATTCTCTTTTCTCTCTACTTTTTGCACATCTTTTCGTAATTAGCCAAAAAGTCATTCCAAACATATAAGTTTTTTTTACCTACTTTTTTAGCCAAATAGTCAAAAAGTTACTAAATTAGCCTGTTTCCAAACGAGGCCTAAGTAAAAAACTTTGAAGATTGCTGAAATATCCATGACCACTAAAATGTATATAAAACTGAATCGGATATAAGCAAAAGGAGTATATAAAATGGAACTTGACTAGAGGGTTACTGGAGCATTGAAGCTCCCCAAATGGCCCCAGTTTGAAAAAATGAATGAATTTCCAAGGTTCTCTTCTCTAAATCTGTTTTTCCTTGACGTTTTTATGGGTTGCAACACCATGTTAGACAAATGGAATAAATATGCCAGTTTCAGTAATCTGATGAACTATTCATACTTCCACCCCATAGGTGTATGTATGTGGTTAGTGGTTAATTACTTAAGTGCTAATTAGATTATGTTATCTCACATTATTAATTATTTTCACATATATATTCTTACATATGCCAGTATGTGTTAAGGGTGGGGATATTTGACCCAACATGATAACACGACTCGAACTGTACACAAAGTAAGTGGGTTAGGGTTGACTATTTTTTGACACAAACATGTATATATGACACGACTCGATAACACGAATATTAAATGAATCAATTCAGTGTCAAACCTACATAACACGAAGTTGAGACAGATTATCAGTTTAATGAAAATTAATTGCATTTTTTAATATTATTTCCACTAAAGGGTGCCATGACATTTTTGAATCCCTTAACTCCATCCAACTTACTAGAAAGTATGTAAAATAGGATTTTAAGGTTGATATAATTTTTAATTGAAGATAATGTATTTTGTCTACTATTATGTAGTTAACCTAGTAAAAAAATATAATAATAAAATATAATTTTTATAAATTAAGAAAATAAAATTGAGTTGAAATAAAATAATGTTATGATTTTTTTTTATTTATTTATTCAGTAGAGAATAATTTCATTAAATTTAACTTGTGAAGAAAAATTTTAATTTTTTCACACTTGATATTTTGAGCAAAGAGTACATTTTTTTGACATGACACATTACCACGACATGAACTGAAAATAACACGACATGATAACACAAAATAATAAACGGGTTGGCTTAATGTTGAAATATTCTAACACAAATTTGAAATGACACGACATGACGCTCACCCCTAATATGAGTGATTGATTTGACATTTTTGTAAAATAGTTTTTGATATAATTTGGTTGTAAGCTGACCCAATTTGATAGGACTTAGGTTTGGTTTGGTTTGTATAATTTGGATGTAAATTTGTTTAATTGAGCATATAGCCCTTACAAGAGCTACATGACGAAAAGGGATTAATTTAGCTACCTTCACTTGATTGGGACAAAAGGCTTAGCTTGGTTTGTATTTGAAATAATTTAAAGACAATACACTAATTTGAATGTAAAACAATACTTATCCAAAAAAAAAAAAACAAAAAAACCCAGATATAGTGTTCATACTAAAGTGGTGCACTTGAGCCTCAAACAAGGTGCTTTCTAATGCCAAGCCAAAAAGAGCCTTCTTGTGTGAGGAAGGTGGGCCACTTTTGGTGTGCCTTTCTATAGCATGCATCCTGGCATGCTTCACTGTTTAACTATCTATGTGTTTGTGCCTTGCTACCTGTTCTTATAGGAAATGGATTTTTAATCATTTTGATATTGTCTTTGTGTATCAGGTACAGTTTCTGTAAATTCCTTCTTTTAGCAGTCTCACTTATCTTTTAGGGAGCATTAATGTTTTGGCACGAAAGTTGAAAATGGGATTTTAGACCCATGATTTTCTGGAAGTGGAGTTTAGTCATGAAATATCACATGAAAAATGTGATTTAGGATATTTGCTAATGTACCAGTCAAATGTGGTGAATGTATTACTGGTTTCTACAAAATGTCACCCTTTTAATACTTGACGGTTGAATGTTTGACTAGTACATAATGCACATGACTGGTTCATTTGAGGGTGTCACTGGTACAGTTGGAGAGCTTGACTGAATCTTATTTTTCACATGAGATTTTGTGATTGAATCTAATTTTCAGTTAAACATGGGTGTGCTACCCATTTTCAAGTTTTTTTCTTGCCTATACATTATTTTCCCCTATTTTATTTTATTTTTATCATGCATCATCAAGGAAATCCAACAATTTGTAGTCATTCAACCAATTAGGTATTGTCTATTCAACAAAAAAGAAGAGGTTTAGCTGGTTTGAATTTAAAGATTTATATGCTTGCTGAAATGGTAGGTGTAAAGCAGTCCTGTTTTGACTAGATTTCCCTTTGTAACAACTAGTCATCCTAATTTTCTTTTTCATATTACTTTTAGATAAACTTAGCCCGTCTCAAGTTGACAAAAGGTTATCCTAATTATCTCTTGATTATTTTAACTTTTTAGTTCAAGCCTATTGATCAGAGTTTATTGAATTGCCTTTTTAGCTTCTTAACGTTATACTAATATGGAAAATCTTTCTGGGGATGCAGGTGAAATTCATCTTTATCCTGTTTCTGTCAAAACACAAGGTGGCGAGAAGCTTGAGCTGCAAGTGAGCTAACTGCATTTAATGCTCCATTTCTAATGTTTTAACCCTCTGTTTAATTGCTTGCAGAATGAGACTACTACATTGAGTTCATTAACTTGTTGGGTGCCTTACTTTCTGTTTGTAGTTGTAACTGAATAACTTTACCTTTCATTTTTCCTTGTCCATTAGTTATTTTCATCTTGGGCTCAAGGTTGCATTTTTTTGAAAGATCGTACTCTTGACAATGTTTAGGAGTTTCCTAATTGATTTTTTACTCACAGTTAAGCCCTGGAGATTCTGTTATGGACGTGAGACAGTTCCTACTTGATGCTCCAGAGACCTGTTTCTTCACTTGCTATGATTTATTACTGCACACAAAGGATGGTTCAGTTCATCAACTAGAAGATTATAATGAAATCTCTGAGGTAGCTGACATTACAACTGGTGATTGCTTCTTGGAGATGGTTGCTGGTATGTTGGTGCTACATTGTTTGGTTGGCTTTGCAAGTGATATGTGCAACACGATGAATACTTTTTCACACTCACTATTTTTCTTCTTGCATCCAAACACAGTGTATTAGGTAATTTATATACACATAATGGTTGCAGGAAGCAAAAAGTGAGGTGCAAATTGAGATACCCTATATGTATATATTTTGCTAGTAGTTTTGATTTGTGGGCTCTAAATCAGAAATATCTGTTGCAGCATTATACGATGATAGATCAATCAGGGCTCATGTTCACCGCACAAGAGAACTGCTCTCTCTTTCCACACTGCATTCGTCATTATCAACATCTCTTGCTTTACAGCATGAGACAGGCAAAAGTACACCTGCAAATTCAGGAGGTTTTGGATTTTTATGGCTTTATTTCCTTCCTTTTATATTTATTTCCTTATTCTCTACATCTGAGCGCTGAAATACATTTTGGAGGAGAGTCACAATAACCTTGACTCTTGAATTTTCCTATGAACTAGATTCTGCGAAAACTGAGGTCCCGGAGCTGGATAGTTTGGGTTTCATGGAGGATGAGACTGGTTCACTTACTAATTTGTTGTCATCACCTTCTGAAGAGATCAAATGTGTTGAGAGTATAGTGTTCTCTTCATTAAATCCTCCTCCAAGCTATAGGCGGTTAGTTTTCTTGTGCTATGGGAACTCTTTATAACTTTGTAGAGAAAATTATGGCTTTTTCTGCGAAGTACTATACATTACATAATGCATATTCTTTATGTTGCCTTCAGGCTTGTTGGGGATTTGATTTATCTGGATGTAATAACATTGGAGGGAAATAAATTTTGTGTTACGGGAACCACAAAAATGTTTTATGTTAACTCAAGTACGGGAAATGTCCTTGACCCAAGGCCAAGTAAAGCTGCTTCTGAATCAGCCACCCTTATTGGACTCTTGCAAAAGATTAGCCCCAAGTTCAAGAAAGGTAACAAAGCATAGTTAGAGCACCCGCAGTTTTTCCACTCTCTACATAGTCTAATCATTATCGGTATCAATTTCTTATTTGATTTTTCAATATTGAAGCTTTTCGTGAAATTTTGGAGCGGAAAGCCTCTGCACACCCATTTGAGAATGTCCAATCTCTGTTACCACCAAATTCATGGCTAGGACTGTATCCTTTTCCTGGTAAGTTCAATATTGAGGAACTTTTGTCTGATGTTGTGGTGGACTTTTTAGCTCAGTTAGTTGTAAAAAGCATGGGATGTTAAAATTTCTTTCGTCTTATTTTTTAGATTACAAGTTGATTATGTTGACTTGAGAGCTTTTTGACTGGAATCAATTCCCCACTTCATGCTTTATTGCTTTCCCTGTAGGGACCATTACAGTGGTTATTCCATGGCAATTATAGCCTTTTGAATAAAAGCCCAACATTTCAACAGATACAAAATGAGAAGAAGAGATATGAAAATCTGGGGAATTGACAAGACACCTCATGCTTCTGTGCTGTTAAGAGTATTCCATTGACTAAATCTTTCTTTCTTTTGAAAAGAGCTGTACAAAGGGAGGTTTGTGCAGCTTGGCCTAAAAGTAACTGTACCTCCCTTTCTTAGTGAAATGTTTGATCCTTGCTCAATTGCTATGTCTTCTTTTGTTCTCAGGAAAACACTAGTCCCCACCATCTCCAATTTCATATATCAAATAGCCATAGGTTTGCTTTACTTCCTTTTCCAGTCGTGTGAAGTCAAGTTAGTTACCACCTTATTTATTTTAGAGTAACTAGTTGGAGTTGCTATATTCTGGCGGCCTCTTGTCAATATCCATGCCTGGTATTCACATTGATGAGGTGGGTAGGCATACATGAGTTTGAGGAAGGAACTCTTACCACCTCAATTAAGTTGAACCTCATTTTAATATAAAATCTGCATCTGAGTACAACATTTGTGTGTGTTCTCTCTTCCAAGTCGTCAAAACAATTGATATAGTTCTATTAACGGCATAATTTTGTTTGAACTTCCCATCCACGATGTATCCTACTGTTAGCACCTTAGGACTTGGACACTTAAGTTGGCATGCGGTGGCACCTTGCACCTATGTCAACCGTCCAAGTCAGGCATGAAGGAGGCATGCCTAAGTCAAGGTAACAATGTGGTAGTGGCAATGCCACAAGACTTAAAGACAAGTGATGTTTCATGTGGGCAAATGCAAGGCTAGACTTAAGCCGAATGCTGCTGGCAGCACGGGCTTGTTGGGTCAGACAGATTAGTGGGCTTGACACTTAGTGGCAGACCAAGACTCACAAATTCGTGGGTCAAACTTAGGAGGGTTCGAAGGCTGACATGGATGGCAGCTCCTGGCAGTTATGTTGGCATGATGCAAGGCTGACATACATGGCGGTTATTGGCAGTAATGCTTGCAAGGAGCCATGTCAAAGAAGGCTGAAATTAAGGACTGGTCTGAGGCAGTCCTGGTGGTTACCAGAAGTTATTTTCTGCAGCAGCCTTTGTTAGTTTGAATTACCCTAGCAGTTGGGGGTGTCAACTGCTCACAACTGATTTGTAAATGCCTTTAAAATGCTAAGGTATTGAGAGTTAGGCGGAGGGTGTAGTTTGTACGAATGCTCTTGTATCCTTATATTATCTGTTGGTAACAAAGGTTGGGAATGGTTCCTATAATGTGTTTGTGTATGCTTTTTTGTTTACAAACCTCATTGTGAGTAATTCAGGCATGTTTAGCTGAGACTAAGTGCTATAACTTAGTGCCATTGCAAGTTGAAAATTTAACTCGAAAATTGATCCTGTAACAATTGGTATCAGAGTCAGGTTTTGCTCTAATAGTGTCGGTATGGATGCTTTAAAGGAAAGAGTGACGCGGTTGGAGAATCTCGTGGGTGAACCTACTGACGAGAATCGCTCGCTAACGGATCAATTAGATGTCGTGGCTTCTGGTTTCTTGCCTTTGAGGCCTCGATGGCAGATCAATTCAAGGAAGTGATGGTTGATATGCTTACCATCTCGGATGCTTGGAAAGACAAATTGCAGGAAGTTATTGACGAACTCTCCCTTGTGAAGAAGGTTGTTTGTGGGCATACGAATTATGGTGAGAACCCTTCGAAAATCAAAGTTCCTGACCCTAAGGCTTTCGGTGGTACTCGAAGTGCCAGGGAACTTGAAATTTTTTTGTGAGACATGGAGCAATACTTTAAGGCTGCTCATGTGCAATAAGGGGAGAAGGTTACCATCACAAGCATGTACCTTTCTGGTGATGCTAAACTCCGGTGGTGTATATGTGTCGGAGATGATGCTCTACCAGAGATCTTAACATGGGAGACTTTTAAGAAGGAAATGAAGGAACAATTTCTTCCTTGCAACACATCTTGGGTTGCAAGAGACGCCTTGAAACGGTTGAAGCATTCTGGATTAGTGAGGGAATATGTGAAAGAATTCAGTTCGTTGATGCTCGACATCAAGAACATGTCTGAGGAATATAAGCTTTTCAACTTTATGTTTGGGTTGCAAAATTGGGCCCCATTGGAACTTTGAAGACTTGGTGTCAAAGATTTGCTTTCTGCCATGGCTGTGGCAGATGGGTTGCTTGACTACAAGTTGAGTAAGGAACTTATGTCAAAAACCAGCAAATCCAAGAAGAAAGGGAAGAGAAAGAGAAGGTTGGGGCGAAGAAGTCTGGTTTCAAGAAGGGTAAAGATAGTTCCAAGTACTAGCAGAAAGGAGAATCTTCTCAGAACAATTGTGGGAAATTTAATAAAGGGTGTTTCATTTGTGATGGATCCCATAGAGCCAAGGGTTGTCCCAAACGTGAGAAACTTAATGCTATGGTAGCAGAAGATAACAATGGGGAGTCGGATTCTGAGGGGCCGACTAGGGTGAATCCCTTGCAATTCATGCGGACAAAGCCCCTTCGACGGGTTTAATGTACATCAAGGTGACATTAGGGGGTACTAACATTGCGGCAATGGTAGACACTGGTGCCACGCATAACTTGTCGGAAAAGGTTGTATAGACCCTTGGGTTGCAAGTTACCCAAAGTACTAGTCGAATCAAGGTGGTAAACTCAATGGCTCAATCGGTACAAGGAATGGCTTCTAAAGTATAGATCACAGTGGGAGATTGGATTGGACGGATTAACTTGATGGTGGTTCCCTTGGATGATTTCGATGTCATCTTAGGAAATGATTTCTTTGTGAATGCAAAGGTGGCTTGGATGCCATATTTGGGTAAATTACTTATTTCGGATGAAGACAAGCCTTACTGGTTACTGTAGGCCAGACAAAGGCAAGGGCACAAAGAGGAAGACGGAGACACTCTCAGCCATTTAAGTGCACAACGGTTTGAAAAAGGGTGCAGAGACTTATCTTGCTGCCTTAGTGGAAATCAAACCTGATCTGTTGTAGAAGTGCTGTATGAAGTGGTTGTTGTGTTGAGGGAATTTGAGGATGTGATGCCTCCGTAGCTACCAAAGTCTCTTCCTCCTCGGCGTGCCACCGATCACAAAATAGAGTTGGTTTCGGGTGCTAAGCCTCTAGCGAAGGCACCCTACAGAATGTCTCTAATGGAACTCACGGAATTGCGAAGGCAATTGACGGACTTATTGGATGCTAGATTGGTTCAACCATATAAGGTCCCTTATGGTACCCTAGTGCTTTTCCAGAAGAAACAATATGGAAGCTTGCGCATGTGTGTTGATTATCAGGCTCTTAACAAAGTGATTATAAAGAACAAGTCGCTTTGGTGGCAGACCTATTTGATCGGTTGTGCAAGGCCACTTCACTAAATTGGATTTACGTGCTGGGTATTGGCAAGTTAGAGTGGCTGAAGAGGATGAGTTAAAGATCACATGTGTTACGAGGTATTGGCCTTTTGAGTTTCTAGAAATGCCGTTTGAGTTAACTAATGCCTCGGTTACATTCTGTAATCTTATGAATGATGTATTCCATGATTATGTCGGTTGGTTTGGTGTCGTATATTTGGATGACATTATATTCTATAGTGAGTCCTTAGAGGATCACTTAACCCACCTTTGGATGCTGTTCACTTGGTTGTGAGAACATCAGTTGTATGTAAAGAAAGAAAAGTGTAAGTTTGCCTAGCGGTAAATTAAGTTCTTGGGGCATGTGATTTGCAAAGGCCTTGTGAAGATGGACAACAGAAAAGTGCAAGCAATTACGGATTGGCAAGCACCATGCAAAGTGGCTAAGTTGTGATCTTTTTTGGGTTTGGCGAACTACTATAGAAAGTTCATTGAGGGATACTCGAAGAAGGTGACATCTCACAGATTTGCTCAAAAAAGACGAGCTATGGAAGTGGGATGAAAGTTGTCAAGTAGCCTTTGACAAGTTAAAAGTTGCTGTTGCAAGTGAATTGATTTTGTGGTTACCTAATTTTGAACTTCCATTTGAATTGCATACTGACGCTTCTGATAAGGCTATTGACGGTGATTTGGTGCGAGAGGGGCACCTGGTTGCGTTCGAAAGTCGGAAGTTAAATGATGTTGAGAAGAAATATTCTGTCCATGAGAAGGAAACGACAGCGGTTGTGTATTGTCTTTAAACTTGGAGAGTTTACTTGTTGGGTACCAAATTTGTAGTATTGATAGACAATGTGGCAAATACTTTCTTCAAAACACAAAAGTTGTCTCCAAGACAGGCCAGATGGCAAGAATTCTTTGAAGAGTAAGATTTCGAATGGCGACACAAGCCTGGGTGTCACAACCAGGTTGCTAACGCTTTAAGCTGAAAGGAAATTGTAAACTATGTTGCTGCGATATCAAACATTGAAGCTTAATTGTTGGAAAGGATTTAAGCAAATGTTGCAATTGATTCTGAATATCAAAGGCTGGTTCATCAAGTGAAGGATGGCACTGTACGTTGCTATTGGTTGGATGATGATCTACTCCACGGCAAAGGAGATAGATTATAGGTCCCTAGTGTTAGGGGACTAAGATTGAAGTTGCTTAGAGAAACTCATGATCCGCAGTAGGTGGGTCACCCCGGACAACAACGCATGATGGCTTTATTATCTCGTACTTATTGTCGGCCAAAGATGGAGGAAGATGTAGAAGCCTATGTCAGAACTTGCTTAGTGTGCCAACTAAACAAGACAGAGAGAAAGAAGGCGGCTGGATTATTGCAACCATTGCCTATTCTAACGAAGCCTTGGATATATATTTCCATGGACCTTATATTTGGGTTGCCAAAGGTGAATGGTATGCGCTCTGTTATGGTTGTTGTTGATCGTTTTTCTAAATATACTGTGTTTATCCCTGCTTCTCATGCTTGTCTAGCCAATGTTGCGGTTGACCTGTTTTATAAATATGTGGTGAAGTATTTTGGGTTGCTAGAGGATATTGTTAGTGACAAGGATACCAGATTCACGAGATGGTTTTAGACTGTGCTTTTCAACTTGATGGGATCAGAATTGAAATTTTCTATAGCAAATCATCCTCAGATGGGTGGACAGACTGAGAGAATGAATGCCTTGCTAGAAGAATATCTCCAACATTATGTGGCTGCAAGTTAGAGGAATTGGGTTGATCTGTTGGATAGTGCATAGTTCTGTTATAATTTGCATCGGCCTTCTGCCACCAGTATGAGTCCTTTTGAGTTAGCCATAGGGCAACAACCCCTTACTTTGCGTGAAGTGGTAAGGACTGGCTCATGGGTTAGATGTCCAGCAGCATACCGATTTGCAAGGGCTAACAAGAGTTGCTAGATGAGGTACAAGATAGTTTGGCTAAGGCAAAGCAAGCGGATGAAAAAGTATGCTGATAAAGGGCGGAGGCCATTGGAATTCAAAGTGGGGGACAAAGTGCTATTGAAACTTACACCACAGATTTGGAAGAAGATAAGCAGTAAGACAGCGAGTGCACCGAGGCCTTATTCCAAAGTATGATGGACCTTTTGAAATTTTGAAATGTGTGGAAAATGTTGCTTACAGGCTGAAGTTGCATGACCGGTTGAAGATACACTTAACAATCCATGTTAGTTTCTTGAAACCTTATCATAAGGATCAGGTTAATCTAGCACGTACGCAAGCTCGACGCGCTCCTCCAGTGATTAGAAAACAGTTTGACAAAGAAGTGGAACGAATTCAGGATCACAAGACAGAGGGGCAAAGTGAGAAAAATCGAAGAACTCATTATTTGGTTAAGTGGAATGGTTATCCTGAAGCGGATGCTAGTTGGGAAAAGGATGTAACTTTATGGTAGTTTGAGAAATAGATTGTTGAGTACGTAGAGGCTTACTGATAAGGATGTCGGCTTGTTCTGGTGGGGTTGGTTTGTTAGCACCTTAGGACTTGGACACTTGGGATGGCATGCGGTGGTACCTTGCACCTACGTCAACCGTCCAAGTCAGGCATGAGGGAGGCATACCTAAGTCAAGGTAACAATGTGGTAGTGGCAATGCCACAAGACTCAAAGACAAGTGATGCTTCATGTGGGCAAATGCAAGGCTAGACTTAGCTCGAATGTTGTTGGCAGCATGGGCTTGTTGGGTCAGACAGATCAGTGGGCTTTACACTTGGTGGTATATCAAGACTCACAAATTCGTGGGTCAAACTTAGGAGTTCAAAAGCTGACGTGGATGGCAGTTCTTGGCAGTTATGTTGGCATGATGCAAGGTTGACAGACATGGAGGTTATTGGCAATTATGCTTGCAAGAAGCCATGACAAAGAAGGCTGAAATTAAGGATCTGGTCCAAGGTAGTCCTGGCGGTTGCCGGCAATTATTTTCTGCGGCAACCTTTGTTGGTTTGAATTTATCCTAGCAGTTGGGGGTGTCAACTGCTCATAACTGATTTGTAAATGCCTTTAAAATGCTAAGACATTGAGAGTTTTAGGCAGAGGGTGTAGTTTGTACGAATACTCTTGCAGCCTTATATTATCTGGTGGTAATAAAAGTTGGGAATGGTTCCTGTAATGTGTTTGTATATGCTTGTTTGTTTACAAACCTCATTGTGAGTAATTGCTATAACTTAGTGCCATTGCAGGCTAAAAATTTAACTCGAAAATTGACCCTGTAGCACCTACCATATTGGTGTGAATAAACAATAAAAATTATCAATTATATAGAAGTGCCAAAGGGGTGGTGCCACTTGTGCACACCCTATAGAGCAAAAACAAAATGAAACTTGTAGCATCTTGTCCTTCTATTTCCAATTGAAGAAGAGCTTCAATTTCTTCCACCCTTGCCATTGATTCTATTGAAAGTTAAGTTGCAATTGAAATTGACTTAACTAATAATTCAATTGATTGAACTTCTTTCAAAGATTAAAAAAAAAGGAAAATATACCATTGAGGGAAGAGAGCTAGGGATTCAATGAAGGTGATAGGACAGTGTTCCAAACTTGTCTTGGTCTCAAATAGGGCGCAAGCTAGGGACATGACTATATGAATGAGACTTCATCCTTATTACAAGTGATACCTCAAATTCTTGGAATGAGCATGAAGAAATTAACGATACTTCTTTTGAGTTGTTCTACTGGATTGGTCGCTCAAGATCTTTGGTCTCTTCTTGGACCACAACATATCTACTCTAATAATGGATTAATTGTTTTCATCTAGCCTAAAAAGGTCATAAGTGTAAATTTTCAGTTCGTTTCATTGTTTGATCCCAAATTGATTTCCCTTTTGGCAAAGAAAAGATGTTTTTATTCAGTGGCGATTCCCCAAGGACTTGAACTATTAATTTGTATCCTTTTGAAGCTTTCATTGGGGAAGTCTGACAATTTTGAAGAGGGAGGGGTTTTTCCTATTCTTATGCCCCTTCAGTATCCTGAACATCCTGAGTCACCACACATGCACAGAGAGAGAGATTTTTGCTGTTCAATAGATTTTTCCTACTCTTAGGCCCCTTTACGCTGTCTTTGGTTGGGGGATTTGGGAAGAGATTTGGAATTGGAAAGGGAAAGGGAAAGGGAAAAGGTATGTCAAATTAGATGAAATGTAGATCTATTTTATTCACATTTCACCTACCTTTTCTATTTTCCTTTCCAAATCTCTCCGCAAATCCCCCAATCAAACACAACATTAGTATCCCAAACATCCTAAGTCACCACACATGCAGAGAGAGATTTTTGCTGTCCAATAGATAGTTCCTGTTAAGTAAATGCAGAAGCTTTCTTGTTAGTTAGGTTTAGTGTTGTTATTTCTTAAATTTCTCCACGCTGGAGTCCGCAATGTGGTGGGGGTAGTGTTGCATTAGCAACATACGTAGGTTTCAAAATTATCACCTGGTAACTCTTTTGTTGTTTCTTGGGTTCCAGATCACAAACGTGATGCTGCTAGAGCGGAGAATGCACTGACGCTTTCCTTTGGAAGTGAGTTAATTGGCATGCAAAGGGATTGGAATGAAGAATTGCAGTCCTGTCGGGAGTTTCCCCATACAATTCTTCAAGAAAGGTGATTTTTTAATATCCATTTTACGTTATTCGCTACATTTTTGCTTGTGTTTGTCTTTTCAACTTTATTCTTCAATAATATTAGTTTAAGCATAGAAGTCTTAGTTAAATTTGGTTAGTTTTGGCATTGTCTTGATTACTTACATGGAGAGTTTTGTTGCAGGATATTGCGGGATAGGGCTCTTTATAAAGTGACATCTGATTTTGTTGATGCAGCAATAAATGGTGCTATTGGAGTCATCAGCAGATGTATACCACCAATTAACCCAACTGATCCAGAGTGCTTTCACATGTCAGTAAAACTTGGCAGTACCAAATATTTTAGTTGACTGACTTATTTATCCTTTTAATTGATTGGTTAGAGCATCTCCAATGGTAGTAGGCATTTTACCTATCTAAATATTACTATAAAGTATACATTTTATTTTGCCTATCAACGATTTCATGTTTCTGCCCCAACCATGCTCTTTATTTTAGCTATTCATCCAAATACTATTAACTTTATAGAGTGCCACATCAGCAACAAAGATGGAGGGAAATAATCTTAATGATTAAATACATTTTGCCTAGCCTTGAAGGCTAGCTACATGTAGCTAGTGAATGTGAGCTGAGCCAAAATGCCTAAGCATATGCCTAGTGCATTGGAGTTGAAAAAAATGAGTCACATTAGGCATTTTGACTAACAAGCATCATATGCCTAGTGGGTTGGAGATGCTCTTAGAAACCTATTTAGTAACTGCCTCTCTGGTCATTTAACTGAGTGAAAGAAAAACCATGAACTTCAGCCTTTGGGGTATAATGCTGAAAACCATTCGTTAACACACTAGCCTTTCACTAATCTGCTCAGTGTTTTGGTGAGAACTATTATTTACATCTTTACATGCAATCTGCTATTATGCCTAGGGAATTGGGAGTTGAGTGAGTTGGCAAAATTTGAGTTTAGTGAGTTGAGTGAGTTGGCAAAATTCGTTAACACATTAGTCTTTTGTTTTCTTCCTACCCCATGGATCTAGTGCTATCTTATTTTGGATAATGGTCATCTTCTTCGCATAATAGGCATTCAAGTAATGCTTTTTAAATTTTAAGTTATTCTTTATCTTGTATTAGTTTTCTTTATTTTTCTTTAATCTCCCGAATGTTGGTTACTTTCCCTTGACGGGTCACTTTATATACTTTCCAAATTTTATTATAAATTGCTTTCTTTTTGGTGGAGGCTCAACCTTGTCATCCTTCAGTGGTTTCACAAGCCCATTGAAAATGAGAAACAAAGGAAGGGCGACCTTTTGCTTACCATAAAGAATTGTTTTGTCACTGTCAATCACATGCAGTTTTTTCAAACAGTAACAGAAACATTTAAAAGATATGTGGAACTCAATTTCAAACGAGTGGCTTTTTTTCCGGATTGTGTCATCGTCACCTTTACAGTTTGTCACCAAATAATCCGTATCTTTCTTATCCTTTCAAATTATATAATCCGACAAGTGGCTAGCATGAAGACACTTGCTTTTGTGGATTTGTGGAAACAAAAGTCGAAACATTGACTAGCATATAGATTTTGGAGCATACAAAATCTTTCAGCGGTTGCTGTTGCATAGTTTTAAAGCTTTTACTCAATCCTCCTTGTATGTGCTGCATCTGTTAGCTTTGACATTGTGCTGTTCCAATTTCTAGGTATGTTCACAACAACATATTCTTTAGTTTTGCTGTGGATGCGGATCTTGAACAGCTGTCCAGGAAGAGTGCATCTGATACTAATTCAAAGATTGAGAGCACAAGCTCATTACATAATTCATCTGAGAAGACTTCCAATAAGTTGTCGCATGGAGCTGCTAGAGTTTCTAGCGGGGATAAATCTAATGGCCCAATTACAGAGGATATTGATAGTGGCACAGATTTGGCTTCTGATGTTCCTAATGAGGCACAGTTGGCTGAAAGTGAGCAAGCCACATATGCTTCTGCAAATAATGATCTGAAAGGCACCAAGGCATACCAAGAAGCTGACATACATGGGTTGTATAATCTTGCCATGGCTATTATCGATTACAGGGGTCACAGGGTAGTGGCTCAGGTTTGTATTCAATCTGAAATTGTCTTTATTTGTAGAGAAGGCTGATGTTTCAAAGATATTTGGAGGGCTGTTCATCATAATAGATAATAGTAGTAAATCATATATGTCTGGTCTGAAACTGTACTTTGCTTTTCTTGATGATAAAAATATGTAAAATTTCACCCTCTCTACTAGCTTAAGCTTTTAAAGAAGTTGTTAACATTTACTGGAGTAGGATGGTCCTGTGCTTGAAACTTGATGCTGACTTGATAATCACCATACATGCTCATGCTCAACTCTCTCAAACTAGGAGTTGGTTATTAACAGCTGTTAATCTCTTAAGTTTTCCTTATGAATTTTCTTTGATAGTTATATTATGGGCAGTATATTGTTAGGAAGTTTGAATTTTTCCCTTATTGTCCTTCGAACTGGTGATTTGACTGGTTTTAGTGGTTAATGTATTTGCAGTGTCTACTGCTAGTATATTTTGTGTAGTTCCCTGTTGTTGTCTGCATTCCTGGTTTTCTGTGTTTCTTTCTGTATGTTTCAATGCTCATTTCTTACTCAATTGCCATTGGTCATTTTCTGCATTCTCTGACATTTTTTTTTTCTTTCTGTGTATGTGTTTGGAGAAGTTATTTTTCTTACTAATTCTTGTCTTCCTGTGCGTATCTTTACTTCCTCCTTGCTGTCTCTTGTAGAGTGTTTTACCAGGCATCCTTCAAGGTGATAAATCAGACTCGCTTCTGTATGGTTCTGTTGACAATGGGAAAAAGATTTGTTGGAATGAAGATTTTCATTCCAAGGTGAGGACGGATATGGATTTTGACATTTTATGCTGTCGATATGTTAGTGTTGCAACTTTGCTGGTCATTTCTGTATTCAGAGAACCTCTTGGCCTTGCATGACGTGAACTTTGCTTTTTTAAATTAGAAAAATATTTTGGTGTTAAGAAGAGGATGCACTTGATAATTATGTTGTATGTAATTCTTATATGTAATTCATGTTTTTGAAACATAAGAATTACATACTAACTACACTATGGTATTCCTATATTGGCCATCTTGACAAACTTGTGTGTTGGATATGAAGAGCTAATTTTTATCTGTAGCACTGCATAAATTTGTCTTATTTTTCTGGGATTATTGATGAAAAGACTTTTGAAGTAGGAAAAGTGTGCTTTTTGATTAGTTAAGTTCAGAGTTCCATGTTTCTCTTCGTAATATCAGCATCTCTGAAGATTCTGTGATTTTTGAGACATTTGTGAAGTTACTGTTATTTGGTAACAATGAGTTCCTTTTAGGGGATTGGACATTGGTATGAATGATTTAAAACCCTTGATTTTCACATGTTCCGGTTTAGTGGTTCATGGGAAGCAAGGTTCACACTGTCAAAAAGGGGTAGGGGAGTTGGATGACATGTTCACTTGCATGGCTATCCAAGGGTCCTAAGAATCATGGATTTGGAGACAGACACATGACATGACATTCAAACACGCTGATATGACAATTTTCAAAAAATATGGAACACTACATGTGGGAGATGTGTGCAAAATATATGGTTTTATATATTTATTATGTGTAATGCATATGAAAATCTCATTCAAAGTTAATAAAAATATGAAATGTAACACAAATTTCTATAGTTTAAAGGATGACGAAATAATAGATATTAATCTACTTTCTTTGTTCGTTTATCATTAGATTCTAAGCTATTTTTGTTCCCTTCCAAACTTGTAATGTATGTCACGTGTCTCTAAGCCATAGACGTGTGTCTCCCAACTTTTTGAAGCGTGTTGGAGTCTATTTTTTTTTTTAAAAATAGGGCATGTTTGGGCATTTTTTCGATACATATCAGAAGTGTCCATTGAATTTTCATTTGTAGAGCCAAATCAGACTCGAGAACTTTGTATATTTTTCCATTCTCTGAGAACCATTGTAGAATGCTGATTCCAACTTTCTGCAAATGGCAAAAAAGGATTCATGTAGCTGACCCCACTTGATTGAGATACAAGTTAGTTTGGTTTGGTTGCGCATTGGGTGTCTAATTATTTTTGCTTATTGGAGCGCTCTACGACAAGTATGAAGCTGAAAACTTGGAAGAATTACAAAACATTATTCCTAGTTTTAAAACCTTGTTGCATCTGGGCTTGGAGCCCATTTATGTGAAGACTTGTGATGGGGCATTATAATCAAAATTTTGTTAAAGAATTATACTTTTCACTTCTTTACATAGTTTTACAATTTATTTAGCATTGTTAGTTTTGTTTCTGTTAAAAATCAATGTATAAAGAGAAAAATACAGAGAGAATAAATGTATCTGATGATCTTATTATTGATTGATATTGATTGTTGTGTCACAATTGATTGATTATATAGATGTAGGTTAGGTGGTGGTAGGTGAGGAGTAGGTGAGTGTAGTAGGTGAGTGTGTGGTAGGTGATGGTAAGTGTGTGGTAGGTGATGGTAAATTCTAACAGTTTCCCTTTCTGAATCTGTCATGAGCACTAAGCCTTGTGTATCCATAGGTACTAGAGGCTGCCAAATGCCTTCACTTGAAGGAACATACGGTCTTTGATGGATCTGGAAATGTTTTCAAATTAGCTGCACCTGTGGAATGCAAGGGTATTGTTGGCAGTGATGACAGGTGATTACTATTTCTTATGTTTTTCATTAGGTTGATTTATTTCCCATTACTGTCTACTGCAAAATTTTGAACTCTGTAATTACTTGAGAGCTTTGATTTGTGCTTTGAAGTCTGAACTAACAGGAAAGTGTCACATTAGAGATTTTGATGCTTAATTCTTCCTTATCTTCCTCTTATACGGTCTTTGATGGATCTGGAAATGTTTTCAAATTAGCTGCACCTGTGGAATGCAAGGGTATTGTTGGCAGTGATGACAGGTGATTACTATTTCTTATGTTTTTCATTAGGTTGATTTATTTCCCATTACTGTCTACTGCAAAATTTTGAACTCTGTAATTACTTGTGAGCTTTGATTTGTGCTTTGAAGTCTGAACTAACAGGAAAGTGTCACATTAGAGATCTTGATGCTTAATTCTTCCCTATCTTCCTCTTTTTCAGTACATTATGAAGGCTAAATTTTTTGACATGTTAACTTTTCACATTAGTTTTATGGTTTGTGGTTGCAATTTAATGTGTCTAATTTTTTGTTCAAAATTTTGCAATGCAACTGTAATCCAATGCCAAACTCTACCTATACGAGCATTAACTTTTGTTATGCTTTAATGCTTCATTTTAATGCTTCATTTTACCGCTCTTTTGAAGTTCAGGCATTATCTCTTGGACTTGATGAGAGTCACTCCTCGTGATGCAAACTATATTGGACCAGGGTCCAGATTTTGTATTTTGAGATCTGAATTAATTTCTGCCTTTTGCCAGGTAAGTTGTGCTATATACTTGTGTCAAAATTATTTCTGACCTCATTTTTGTATATTTCTTTTTTAATATTATGATTGGCTTGATTGTTGGGATGGTGGGGGTGGGAAAGGCTGAAGCAGCAGAGAGATCAAAAAATAATTGCAAACCGGAGGTGGAGCTTCCTGGAGCCAGTGATTCTCCAAAAGTTGATAGTGTTGAAGAACAGCTGATACCAGAGGCAGAAGCAGCACTGGAAACTTCCGACACACAGGTAAAAGGGTTTCATTCGCTCAAAATATTTTCATTAACGCAGTGGGTTAATATGACATAAAATGACTCCTTAAGATGGCTTAGGTGCATGAAACATGGAAAATTCTTTACCTTTAATGGTCTCCTTACTGCAGACTAATTATGTGATGCTTATATGAGTATCGACTGAAATCAGTTCTACTTTCATGTATATGGATATATGTATTTAATACATGTATATATATGTGTGTACTTTGTGTACATGTGTCTTTGGCATTACTTGCCCTGTATCTTACATACTTCCATTAAATTTGTATGTGGGTGTATTTCCTCCATATTGATGCTTTTGTGCTACGTGGGGATACAAAGAATATTTGTGTTATTGTGCTGGCACATGGCTTCTTGCTTTGCAGAGGATATTGGACAATGTATGTGCATTGTTAGCAAGAGCAGTGTGTGGAACATGTCTAGTAACTTTAGTTATAAACAAAGGTTTTTAGATCCCTACATGACAGCTGTTCTTTAGGAATTAGCATGTCTGATCATCTTGCATTAGTTTTTACAAAACCATTAAATGAAATCTTATTACAGAATGCTAGTAACAAGATTTCTAGTGTCATTCTATCAAATGTTTGAACAAGGCAGGACTGTGAATGGGATATTTGATATATTTTGTTTTATTTTGTTTAAAAAAATGTGACCAATCTAATGTTGGTAGTTATTTTGATTGGCTGAGAGAGTATGAATGAGATTATTATTCCCATTGGTGAGAATGGAGTATCCAGTATGAGTGGGGATCTGATTCTGGGATGAATGGGAATCTCATCACTGATAGTGTCCCAAATGCAGGAGTTGGGCAAAATATGAAAGGATTGCCAGTGTGTGATTCCTGCCCGTGAAACATAGCCTGATGGAAATCTGGAAAGGATAATTTGTACTCTCTCTCTCTCTCTCTCTCCCCATTTCAGCATCTTTTGTAGCTCCCTTACCTCCTTTCTTTTGGATTACCTGCCTGTAGATTTTCAAAGTGCAAAACGACGTCTAGACCGGGCTTCTTTAGTGGTTAAGTTGATCTTGGTTTTAACAAGGAAACATTAAACCTGTGAATTGGAAATTTAGGAGTTTGGTCTTTGACTAATTTTTAACCCTAGTAGCCATAGTAAGAATCAAGGAACATGATTCCTTCACAGAAACACGCATCCAGATTTTTAACTGTTCCCATCTTCAGTCTATTTTGTAACAATTAGTATTTGATTATATGTTTCTGTACCTGTCTTTCTGATTTACAGTGATTGACGCAGGACAGCCTAGTATGTTTGTATTCTAAGGCTGTATTGCAATGAAAATTTTTTGGGTTTAGGGATGGAAACTAGGGGAATAAAGCAAAGGTTTTGCAAATCCAAGATGTCAAGCCTTTAGTTTAGATTTTGAATATTACGCAAATGTAATTAAAATAAAGTAATTCAGTAGGTAAGAGAAATAAATAGAAAGAAATAATAACTCTACTCCACGAGGGTGGTTTTAGATGCACACCCGAAGTTTTAGAAATGAACTCATCTTTATTTATTCCACTCTAAAGTTATAATACAGCGGGGGCCCTTTATATTGACACAAATAAGCTTTCTAGAAAGTCCCATCAGATGTAGAAACTATTTCTAAACAATTAATTGGCTGGATTGCTGTCCAAGAACTTGACATTCTAACCAACTTCAGAAAGCTTTTTTGAAATGGGAAGCATAACCAAAATTGAAATTGGAGAACCAAGTGATTCCTAAAAATAAAAATTTCTAACACATTCTAAAACTCTTTTAAGGACATAACCATAAAGAATAATAATAATAAAAAAGACTCAATCAGACAAACTTGACATTATTTGCCTGGGAGTTCTCTTATTCTATTAGTTACATTTATCCTCTTTTTTCTTTTTTCAAATTTTTAATTTTACTTCCAAGATATCAGCTTTCTTTTTATTCTGCATTATGACCACTTGTATTACGAATGAAGGTCACCAGGCTGAGAGATTTTTTGAATTAGTTCCTTTCTTCATGATAAAAACTAGGGTAAATTACATTGATCTCCCTTGACAATTCGGAAAAATACAATAAGGTCCACTAATTTGGAAAAATTATAGAGTTTAGAATGGCATGACACAGCTCCATACTGTTAGTTTGACATGTCAACTGGATAAAATAAAATAATGTGATCCCATTTTAAATTAAAAGTCTAATTCTAACATTTCCCTCATAGCCCAGACCTATCTTCTGATACCATTTCCCCTCTCTTTTCTCTACCTTGCCTCTCTACCCCCCCTGTTCCCCCACCACAATGAACCCTGCACCATAGAAATGAACTCATTGCTATCTCTCTCTTACACTACTACATACAAATCCTGACTAAGTAGCACTGAGACAGACATGCTGAGTTTCAGAAAATGCAAGACGCAAAACATGTTAGAAATTTAAATTTTTATAAATTAATTTATTATATGTCAAATATATCTATAGTTAATTCAAAAGTAATAAAAAAAAATTAACTTTAACTGTAATTACCATTGAAAAAAAGCGTATATTCAATAACTTGAAATCAATATATCATTTACATAACAATTACAATTTAAAAACTGCAAAACAATTATAGAACATTAAAATACACATGATATATTCAAAACAATTATAGACATTTCATTATTTTGATTTGCCTATTAAACCCATCGGCTACTAGATATCAGACACAATCTCCTAGGATATGTATTTAAAATGTATACCATCTACTGGGGCCTAACATCACCACCTATGAAGCACGGACACGTCCCTGAGGCTTGCGTATGAGTGTCGGACACGTGTCAGACACGGACACGCGTCGGACACGCTGCGGACACGTGTCCGACACTCTCCCCTGCGTGTCCCCCTTTTTTTCAGAATTTTTCAAAGTCGGACACGAGGTTGGACACGCGAGGACAATTCAGACACGAAGGTGGGTGGATCGAAGAAGCCCTAGAACTGTTGGAGAGGAGAAAGAGAGAGAGCCAGATCCAGAGACAGATCGAGGGGAGAGAGAGGGAGATAGATCAAGGGAAGAGAGAGACAGATCGAGGACAGAGAGAACAAGCCCTAACCTGTTCTTCTTCTCTCTTCTGCTTCTCTGTTCTTCTGCCTTCGTCTTCGCTGCTTCGTCTTCGTCGCTTCGTCTTCGCATCATCTTCCTCTTCCTCTATCTTCGTCTTCCGTCTTCTATCTTTTATCTTCTTTCGTCTCTCCTTCTGTCTCTCTCTTTCTTCTCTTCCCTTCATCTGATTTCATGTCTCTCTCCACTCCACCCTTTTCTTTTTATTCTCTTTTTTTTTTCCATTTGTTTTATTATTTATATCCATATTTTTATTCAAATTTATAAAATAAATTATTTTTATTTAAAAAAAATTAGATAATATATTTATTGATTTTATTATTATTGTAATTTTATAAGAATTAATATTTTTTTAAATTTTAGATATAAAATAAATAAATAAAATTATATATATTAAACGTGTCCCCAACGTGTTGTGTCTCCTATTTTTTGAAAATTTGCGTATTTACGTGTCCGTGTCGTGTCGTGTCCGTGTCCGTGCATCATAGATCACCACAAACCACCTTAGAGATCACAAATTAAGAAATCTTTTTGTGACTCTGAAAACTGGTGCATGTCTTCAAAATTTGATCAAAGTAAATGTAATCTTGTATCGCACATGCATTGCATGTACCCCTTGCTGACTGTGAAAGGCTAGAAAGAACGGACACGGATACGAGGTACGGATAGGATAGGATACGATATGAATACGATATGAATATGGCGATACAGCAAAACCTAAAAAAGTAGGATACGAGTACGGTTAGGATACGTTTGTAAAAAATAAAAATAAAAAAATTATTAGCAGTGAGTTACACATAAGCTCAAGAATGTTGAGAAACCACAGTAACTTTATGATGCAAAATACTAATCTTTAAAAATTAGGTACTAAGTTAAGGTAGTAGCTAGTTTAATCTTTAAATTTTCAGAAGTCTTGCAAATATTTCATTTCAATATCAATTCTAATATGTTGATATTATAATATCAAAACAATCCACAACTTGACCCATGCTTTTTCCTTTTGCACTAGTCAAAAATATTTTATGCAAGTTTATTTGCTTATTTATTTATTGATATTTAATTTTACTATTGTTATATTGGGGGTGTTTGTTTCAGCTTTTCAGAGTCAACTTATGCATTTTAGCTTTGAAAAAGTTATTTTGGACTGTTTGGTTAAACTTATTTCGAACAGCTTCTGATTCTAACAGCTTATTTTAACTCAAAAAAGCTGATTCTGAGAAGCTGCTCTCCCCTTACTTCTGATTATCAACTTCTGCTGTGGACATGTTAGTTTCAGCTTTTCAGAGCCAACTTATGGCTTTTAGCTTTGAAAAAGTTATTTTGGACTGTTTGGTTAAACTTATTTCAAACAGCTTCTGATTCTAACAGCTTATTTTAACTCAAAAAAGCTGATTCTGAGAAGCTGCTCTCCCCTTGCTTCTGATTATCAACTTCTGCTGTAGACATGTTAATTTATGGTTATACTCTTAATTTTTTTTATTTTTTATTTTTTTAAAAATAGAAAAAGACTCAAATGGACTATAGATTATTATTATTATTTTTTATGAGAAATGTAGACAAACAAAAAATAAAAATTAATTGAAAAAGTTATTTCACAGCTTATTTAACAAACACTACTCAGCAACTTAAATTTATAATCCAACAGCTACACCAAACAGATTAACAACTTCTGATTAAAGTCATAATCTATAATCTGTTAAGCTATAATCTATAAGTTGTTTTAACAGCTACACCAAACGGGGCCATTATCTTATTGATCCTTACTTCTATGTAGTTATAGGGGACATGCATGATACAATGAAGATATGTCAATTTGATGTATTCTATTACTTTAGTTTACTGTGTTATTTTTATAAAAAAAACTAAGCAAAGTATTGTAAAAATATTCTATTTATCCTTACAATTATATTATATTATGATGTTATGCAAGAAATGATACAATTCTAATTTCGTAAAAAGAGTAATATGTGACTTGGAGCATTTGATACTTCAAAATTAATTAAGAAGTATCTGATAAAATATGACTTGGAGCATCCGATACTTCAAAACTAAGTATCCGATACTTCAAAATTAATGAAAAATTAATTAAGAAGTATCCAATACTTTTAATAAGTATCTGATACGTATCCGTAAGTATCCAAGGAGTATCGATTTCCGATACGGATACGATTAAGATACGTCTTTCTATTTGAAGTATCTGTGCTTCATAGGTGAAAGGAAACTATAATTTTATGTCATGAAAGATTTAGGGAATTTTAGGAAAAACCTAACACTTGTTGAAGATGAATAAGTAGATGTTCTTGTTGAAGATGAAAACATTGAATTTGAGGTTAAATGTGACACTTATTTCTCCCCTTTTTTCTTTTTAACTTTTTGAGTACTGACTATAATAAAATGTTAAATTTGTAATTACGACGATTTGTATTGTATATGTTGAATGTTTGTATTTGTGCTCAATTCTGCCCAAACAACTTTTGGTAAACTCTCTCCCATTCTTGCTTTTCACAGGAAGTGCCAAAAGAAGGTAAACATGAGGCTTCCCAAGAATGTTGTTCTGCATGTGAGGAAATATCTTTCAATCCTAATGTCTTTACGGAGTTTAAGTTAGCTGGAAGTGAAGAAGTAAGTCTTGTATATTTGCCTTGGGAATATCACCTTCTGGTCATATTCATGTGTATCCGCACTTCATTTATTTTTTCATTTTCCTGGGTATTCATCAGGATATTGCTGCTGATGAAGAAAATGTTAGGAAAGCAAGTTCCTATCTTAGAGATGTCGTGCTGCCAAAATTTATTCAAGATCTTTGTACACTTGAAGTATCACCCATGGATGGCCAGACATTAACAGAAGCACTTCATGCTCATGGAATTAACGTTCGTTATATTGGAAAGGTAAGTATTTGCTATTGTTGAGTTTCTTTCATTGTCTGACTTGGATTTTGGATCATAAGCAAATTGTTGGCAAGTTAAACGTTTTCCCTAGCTTGAATTGGAATCCTAAATATGGGAGTGTTATTGTCAAGCTGGACTCTATGTGGTCTTTCTTCTCTGACTATTTTTCTTTTGACACATTTGAACTGCTTCTCCAGGTGGCTGAGGGGACCAAACACTTGCCTCATTTATGGGATCTTTGTTCCAATGAGATTATGGTCAGGTCTGCAAAGCACATCCTCAAGGTGAACATTTTTATGCCACTTAAGAATCTGTTCTTGTTACGTGTTTCCCTGAAAAGTCATTTGATGAACTGTTTGTGTAACCATATAAAGATAGGGTGATAAATTAAAACTTGAAATCATATATTCGGTTGAGCAACTTAATTCTTTCTTCTCAGATAGAGATTCTGCTTGACTAATTCTGCCTTTCAAAACTTATTCTTATTTCCTTTGATTGGGTTGTGTTTACCACCATTGCTTTGGTTGTGCAGGATGTCCTAAGAGAGTCAGAGGATCATGATCTTGGTCATACAATCTCACATTTTTTGAACTGTTTCTTTGGAAATTGTCAAGCTGCTGCTGTAAAAGGTACTCCTAACAGTATGCAGTGCAGAACCCAGAAGAAGGTACACATATAGATGTACATTATCATATTCCTGCTCTATTATACTTGTTTTTTCGTTGTGAGATCACCTATGGTAGTTCTAGGCACCAGGATTCTTTAATTGCACATGCATGCTCTGCAGTTTCTTTTATGTGTATGGAGAGTTCAGAGATAAATTAAGGTGTCTTGTTGTCTAGTCTAGATAAAAAGAAAAAAACAAGTACTGGAACTGAAGAATTTTTCGGTCTTGTTTCTCAAGAATGAACTTGAAGGTTGACATGTGTGTAAATCCTGCAGGATCACGTGAGCCATCAAGCTTCTGGAAAATCTAGGGGGCAAACAAGGTGGAAAAACGGAGGATCTGCAAAAAAGAAACAGTCATCATGTTTGAATATTACGTCTGATAGTTTGTGGTCTGACATTCTAGAATTTGCAAAAATAAAATACCAGGTATTATAAACTTGAGTAAATTCACTGCTTGGTCCTTTCATTAGACCTTTGATGGTCTTGTATATTAGTTTGTGATGGGGGCATAATTCTCCCTACTGCAGTATGAGTTGCCGGAGGATGCAAGATCACGGGTGAAGAAAATTTCAGTCATACGCAACCTTTGTCAGAAGGTAGCTTTTGATTCACCTGTCTGTTAATTTGATTCTCAACTTGGAAACCCTTTTCTTCCCATTCTCTTTTATCTTTGTTTTTGCTTGGTTACTTATTAGGTGAGTCCCTCTGGTTAAAAGTACAAACTAACTGCTTTTATTTTATCTTGTGAATTTTTGGTGTGTATGCCTCCATTTTATGCTTGTGCTTTCATTGATTTTAGATTTTGAATTGGTTGCATGGCATATGACATAACTTCAGTATTGGTTGCATGGCATATGATGTAAGTATTGGATTGTGTAACTATAGCTGCTCTCTTATTTGGGAGTCCCTTCCGCTTGTTGCTCCCACCAAATCCAAATGTGCTTGGAAACCTGTTATGAGGTGTGTGGAGTGAAATCTGTATTGGAAGCAACTGAAGATGGTTTACTTGGTTGGGAGCTCAGCTCACTCTCTAATTCCCAACATGAATTTATCAGTCTTGAATCCACGATGCAAAGTGGATGGAGAGTACAAAATGTCTTAATGGAGAAACAATATTAGGGAAGGGCATGAGGTCAAGTATCATCTTAGTGCTTTGGTTAATGTTTCGTATGTGAAAATACTAAAAGACATTTAACAAAAAGTTTCTTGAGAAAAATGGTGATAATTTAAGCATTGGGAAGGTTCCTTGCAGGACATGCCCCATTAAGGAGGACCTGGACTAGTAAAGTGTAGCAAGGAATGGTGATGCAACTGCCTTTGCCCTTGTCTGCTTTGGGGAAGGAGATATGTCAATGAAATGTGGAAAGACGGATAGATTCTAGTGAATTTTAGTATATCCATTAAGGAGAAAGGAACTGAATACCCAGAAAACCTGGCATTGAAGTGTCCAATTGTATTGAATCATCTTCAGAATGAGGATTTTTCATCTGCCAATGTCCTTTTTATGTTAATTAGTATTTGTGCTTGCCCAAAATATTTGTTCTCTTCATCAAATGGTAAATTTGTAGGCTTTGGGTTTATGAGTTACTGAGATTTTATCATCATCACAGGCCACTTATGTAGTGCTCTGGATTGGTTTCCTGGATAATTATCCTTTTGCCCCCTCTGGTGTATTTGGTAAATAAGAAAAAGAAGAGTTGTTGGGAATGATTAATGGAGATTGTTACCTGCATTAAATTAGTTTGTGGACATTTGAGACCGACTGATACAATGTAAATCTCTGAGAAAGGAATCTGAACATAAAATAGCCTGGACACTGTTGACAGTGGTTAATGCTTGCTGTCTAATGGTACTATTCGTGTTCTGGGTTAGTGTAATGATACCATAGCAATCTGTTATTTTGGGGCTTAAATGAAAACTTCGAACTCTAGAGTTTAGTTGTTGAGGTATGTTAGCTTACTGAGGATGTTGTGGAGCATCAGTCGCATGTACATTGCCAAAGCTTGTTTAGATTATGGTTCTTACAGTTTGTTTACATTGGTGGATGTTATTGCACAAGTGCAATGGATAAGCTTATTTCAGCAAAAAACAAGGTCTTTTGCGTATGCTGTCAGAAAGGTGTTCTTTGTTGTCTGAGTGTATCATCTTGGAAAGAAGTGGAAGAAACATAAGAAGCTCATTGCCTCTGGTTGTTTGTTAATCTTTGATTCAGATTTGCAACTGGAGGCAAAGTAACAGATTCAGATGCAGTGTATTTTAGGAATGGGATGTTTGCATTCAGTTTACTCTTTCTTCTAAAGTCAGGTTCAGATTGGTGTCTAGCCTCCTCTCAGGGATGCCTGGTGCTAAGCACTGATGACTCCTATGGCCAGGATAGAAGGGCTTTAGAAGATGTCCTTTGGAGCCATGAGTGGTAGATGATCATATGTTCCCGTGACACTATCCCAATTATATGACTTGACGGCAATTAAGTTTAAAATGGAGGTTGTAGGAGGGTTAACAGAATTATTATCGTCGCTTCACATTTGCAGACTGCCAGGAGAATTTTGTGAAAGGATGGTGACATTCCCTAGAAATCTGGGCCCCTCGTTGAGGTCTTGGTAAGACTAATAAATCCTGTATTTTGTGATTTCTATGTGTGCAGAGAGAACAAATGCTATTGCAGATTTTTTAGGGCTGAGGTGCTGTAAAGAGGAGGTTGGAGGTGCTAACTTGGACAAGTTAATTTAGCCTTATTGTCTATCCCTCAGACTCTCAGTTAAAAAACTATATGTACATTTTATATTTACAATGATTTAAATAATAGATGTACATATTCGTATATAATGCACATGTATATATATATATATCAGTAAGCTGAACAATAAATGTGTATGATCAAGCTAAATTAGTGCAAGCCCTACAATAGTTCTGCAAAATGGTCCTGTAAATTTTGATCTGAAACATTTCATTATGTAATGCCACAAAATAGTTGATTACTATGAGATATGGACTGTCAAAAGTTCATTTATGAAAATTTGGTATTTTTTCAACTATGTGCTGATAGTTTTATTTTGCTCTTGGTGTGTGATCATTCTCATTTGTGGGCATGTAAAATGTCCAAATTCAAGGAAGTTCGGCCGTGGATGGAACTGTAAGAACTTGTGTGAATCTTCGAATATTCACTAACTTCTAACTATGTTTCAAATTCGGTTAATAGCTGTTTTGTCTCCGAAAATGATATCTTATGGTATAGTGTGTGCTCTTGAATGGTTTATTTGACACTTGTATTTGGTGCTTTGAACAGGTAGGCATAACCATTGCAGCTCGCAAATATGATCTTGATGTTGTGGCTCCTTTCCAAATATCAGATATTTTGAATCTCCAACCAGTGGTTAAGCATTCTATACCTGTATGTTCGGAAGCTAAGGATCTTGTGGAAACAGGAAAAGTTCAGTTGGCTGAGGTATGAATAGTTCTTTTGTGTCATCATAAACCTAATACAAATAACTCAGGAATGTTTACAAATATGTCTAAAAGTAGGAAAATAGTTCTAAATAAACATTTAGCATTTACTTGTAGAAGATCTAAAAGTAGGAAAATAGTTCTAAATAAACATTTAGCATTTACTTGTAGAAGAATTAAAACAAAAGTCCAAGGTAGACCGATAATGGAGTTGTAGCAATGTGTGCGCTAGGCAAAAAAATATCTTACTTTTGTTGAATTCTTTTAAAGAATTAAAAGCACCTTTATACTATTTGTGATATAAGAGATTATTTGCAAATTATGAAAGCTAGATGTTTTTATCATGAGCTATTAATAATGGTTGCAAGTGAAAATGTCCCTGTGACTTTTAACTGTATCAGAGATTCTTCTAACTTAAGCTCAAGTGTAATTGCAACAATTTTGTGATTCCAAAGTCTAGTAGGAAGAAACAGACCATTAATTCCTTTGTTACTTATTTCAGGGAATGCTTAGTGAGGCGTATGCATTATTTTCCGAAGCATTCACAATACTTCAGCAGGTATGTTCTACTAGTTAAACTTGATTTATGTGTCAACAAAGAATTCGAAACACCTTGACATTTTTAGAACAGGTCTGAGGCAAATATATTGTTCTATAAAGTTAAATAGTAAGTTTGTGATAAACTGCAGGTGACCGGTCCAATGCATCGGGAGGTTGCAAACTGCTGTCGGTAATTATCTTCAATTAGCCTATTAACATGATTCTGCTTTACTTTTCAGTCTGAACAAAATAGCCATACTGGTGCTTCATCTTGGTCTTCGAATAGCTGGTTATGTTACTTGGATCTTCATGTCACCTCTTTTGTTGAACAAAATGTCCATCTCTAAGACAGCTTTTAACTGTCTCATTTACTAGTGATCAACATTCTCAAGAGACAGTTTAGCATGGAGTGTAATGTGTGGTGCAAGACTATTGGTTTTGACTTTTGAAATATATTTCTGGGAGAAACTAGTTTTTGAAGATTGATTACTGATGTTTCTAAATTGAATCATTATCTGGTTCTGTGTTACCAGAAAATGCTATTACCTTAGCGAATTATGTATTGGTACACACGTTCCGAAATATGATACACTTTCATTTCAAAATTGTAAATTTAGTGATTCAAAGCGATCCCAAAAGTTTTTTTCCTAATATATTTTCTTGAGTGTGAGAAGGAAAAAAATCAAATATAATGAGCTAAAATCTAAGATGACTTAAGTTTTGACAAGACAAAAACATAAAAAATGAATATATATTTTATTGGATGCTTGATAGTTAAAAGAAAATTACTCTAGAAGTACTTTATATTCTTTAGTGTAATATATGCCACTCCACCCCTATTATACCACATTTTAGAGCATGTGGCATATCGCGATCCTGTTCCCGTTCCGCGTATCGAAACGATCCAAGTAACATAGATCTGGTTTAAAAACATTGTTATTGAAATCTATGGGATCATGTATTTCATGTGCTTATGAATATACTATTTAACAAAATAATGCATAGGGAAACTAATCCTGTGGTTTTTTTTCTTCTCAGTTACCTTGCCATGGTTTTGTATCATGCCGGAGACATGGCTGGAGCAATAATGCAACAACACAAGGAACTTATTATAAATGAGCGCTGCCTTGGCCTGGACCATCCTGATACTGCTCACAGGCACCAGTTCTTTGCCTTTGTATTCGTAGTATATTTAATTGCTTCAGTAAGGCTATATTGGGACATCACAACTAAAATGAATTTGCTTCTTTTGTTTCTGGTGTTTGAAGACTCAAAACCATCCTTTTTGGATGGAGGAGTCATCACCAGGAAAAAAAGAAAAGAAAAAAGAAAGAAGAGGGTGCATAGATTCACCCAATAAAAGGAAATAAAACCATAAATGAATAAAGATTTGAAACATTGTTATTTATTATAGGAGTATACACAAACGTAAAAGTAATACACAAAATCTATACAAAATGATGTGTCTACCCAATATTCATTCATTTCAAATAATAAAATCCATAAAAATGGCTTATTATTTCGAGATTGCCATTAACACATCATTCTGATAGGATTTTCTGTACATAAATTCTGTTTACAAATCATTTTTATTCTGAGTCATTAAGAATTATGTGTTAGTTTACTTGTATCAAATGCAAGTTGCAAAAATAGAACTCTCTTTCCTTTTGGGCTGTGGACACCCTGATAACAGTGGATATAAGAAAAAACTTATTTTTTACATCTATCCTCATGCTCACGGGATCTGGTGGCTACTGCAGTTATGGCAATATGGCTCTTTTTTACCATGGGCTTAACCAGACTGAACTTGCACTTCGTCACATGTCCCGAGCATTACTTCTCCTAAGTTTATCTTCTGGCCCGGACCACCCTGATGTGGCTTCAACTTTTATAAATGTTGCAATGATGTACCAAGATATTGGAAAGATGAACACAGCTCTTCGTTATTTGCAAGAAGCATTGAAAAAGAATGAGAGGCTCTTAGGCGAGGAACATATTCACACTGCTGTGTGCTATCATGCTCTAGCCATTGCTTTCAACTGCATGGGTGCTTTTAAGCTCTCTCACCAGGCATGTAACTTGGGATTTTATGTTTTCTATGTGATTCATGGATGAATATAGACACTTGTGCTTTTATAATGACCAATCAAGGTTTCATTATGACAGCATGAAAAGAAGACATATGATATACTTGTCAAACAACTTGGAGAGGAGGATTCCAGGACACGTGATTCCCAGAACTGGATGAAAACATTTAAGATGCGTGAATTGCAGGTAAATGCAAGAAACTGTTGAAAAGTTTTTTTGTTTTGCGTACTTCAAAGACTTTTAAATGTTATTTGCTTATTTATTATTGTTAATTATACTCCTACATTGATAGATGAATGCACAAAAGCAGAAAGGTCAAGGTCTGAATGCAGGTTCTGCTCAGAAGGCTATTGATATCCTGAAGGTACTTTTGATCTGCCTTCCCCATTCTTCTTTCCCCTCCAGCTCCAAAAAAGAAAAAGGTCAACTATTATCAATAAAATTATTATTGGCATGGAATGCAATCCTAAAAGGTGAAGGTATTTTTGTTCTTATCTACTGTAATATTATTTTTTAGGGAAATAAAAATTAAATAAACCAAACTGCTTAAAAATCTAAATCTGTATTAACAATAGACATGGAATGGTTGAACATTCAACTTTTTTTGTCACTCTTTGTTAAATATTGCAAAATACAAACAGTTACAATTCATTGTTGTTTGTGATAATTTTAAGGGTAAATTACACTAACACCCCTTGAGGTCTCTATTTAATACAGATTCTCCCCACGTTTGAAAAATTACACTTATCCCTTTGTCAAATTAAAATTACATATTTACCCTTTAGCCTTTATACATATTAAATAATAAAATAATGTTAATATTTTGTTTATGTCATTTCAAGAAAAATAACAATAATTTTCTTTGGTTTAACTCACACAAAAAATTAAATTTTTTTATTTTTATTGATTTTTTTAATATTTTAAGCATTTATTTATTGATTTTTTGGATACATCTAATTTAGATATATTTAGGAAGTATAATATTTTGTATTTTTTTTTTAAAATTCACCAAATACAAAAAAAAAAAAAAATACAAAAATACAAAAATTCAGTAATATTGTAATAAATGTGAATGAAGGTGTTTGTTAATACTGTAATAAAATGTGGGTGAATAGACGAGAAAGAAAAATAATGGTGGAAATAAAAATGAAAAATTATATTAATATATAAAAATTTATACAAAAAATATCATAAAATTGTTGTGATAGTAATGTTGTATGGATGTTTTGTTTTAAAGTGAAAGATCACTATTAAGTTATATCATTGTGTTTGAAAATTTTATATATAATTTATGTTGGTATATTATCACTCAATAAGAATATGTTGAGGTAGAATTAATGATGGAAAGTTGTGAATCTGTATTAAACAGATACCTCAAGGGGTGTCAATGTAATTTACCCTAATTTTAATATTGAATTATTCTGAGTTTATAATATTTCAGTAACATATTTAGGCTTCTTTAAATACAATAATTGTTGAGTTTTATTTTGTTTTCTTGTTTGGCATTCAAAAGATAAAATGTTTGTTCATATGTATTGTGTGCTTAATTAAAATGCTAGCAATTATTGAATTGTATCATATCGTCATTAAGCATTTCAGTAGGGTTGCCTGCTTAATTTTTTGGGTATTTTGAAGGATTTCATCTGAAGCTAAATTTACTGGACAGGCCCATCCAGATCTAATACATGCATTTCAAGCAGCTGCTGCAGCTGGAGGATCTGGAAGTTCTGGCACCTCTGTGAATAACAAATCCCTTAATGCAGCAATTGTTGGAGAGGCTCTTCCACGAGGTAGGGGAGTTGATGAAAGAGCAGCTCGTGCTGCAGCGGAGGTGAGGAAGAAGGCTGCGGCGAGGGGGCTTTTAATTCGCCCGCACGGAGTGCCTGTCCAGGCCATGCCACCGCTCACTCAACTCCTCAACATAATCAACTCAGGGATGACGCCAGATGCGACGACGAACAACACAGAAACTGGTGAAGCAAAGAAAGAAGCTAATGGTCATTCTTCAAGTGGACCTGGAGATGTGGTAGAGGATGACCAGTCCAAACAAGTGCAGCGAGATCAAGCTCCGGTTGGTTTGGGCACGGGCTTGGCCACATTAGATGCCAAGAAGCAGAAAACAAAACCTAAAGCTGCAACTTGATTGATTGATTGATAATTAAATCATGGTGTGGCAACATACCTTTGGTTCTCAAAATGAAGGATATTCTGAGCTTTGCTTGATAGGTAAACCGTCTCAACTGGTTTGAGCCACAAGCTTCGAGTATGAAGGCATGCGCGGTAATCCTTCTACCATATGGCATTCTTTAAATAATTACGCTCATAGGAATACAATTTGGGACCAGAGAGCATGCGGTCACTTTTTTTTGATTAAAACTGGAAAGAGAGATTGATATTTAGTCGGGTATAAGCTCATGAATAATCAGTTCAGTTGGCAAATGTAATTTAATTTTGCTGCTGTTTTCAAAACCTCTTTGCCATTTTTATTTGTAGAAGCAGGTTGTCATACTCGTAAGAATTGAGTAATGTTTTCTCGAGACATACAGGTCTTGAGGATTTTTTTTTAATTGAAAGCTCCATTGTTGTTCTTGCAATTGGGTCCATTTATCTTGCTCAATTTATCAATAGATGGATATACAATAGTTCAATGCCTAAGAGTTCTAGATTTGATCAGCTAGTCTGGGTTCGGTTCATGGATTTGGTGAGAGAATTGGAAAAAGAAAGGAAAAATATGAATGAAATATAATTACATTTTATGTATCTTTTACACATTTTTTCCTTTGCTCTTTTTAAATTTTTGGTTAAATTTATGAAACAAAAACAGCTTTAGAGAGAAGGGGGAGGACTAAGGGTGGATGCTGTGCTGCATAATAGCCACTGTTGTGGGGCTCATTTTGGGGTTCATTTTAATAATTTGAATTGTTCAATCTTTGGGGTACATTGAGTAAAAGTATATGGAAAAAATTAAGTTGGTTAGATATTAATGATTCTTTTGTTGAATTACAGTTGTATTCAGTTTTATAATTCAAACCACAATTATTATTATTATTTTTAGATCAAATGTAATTTGATGAAGGGGTCATTAATATATGATGAATTTAATTGTTTGTATGTATATTTTATTTGATTTACTTAAAAAATTAACTGTTTCAATGATTAAAATGGACACTGAAATAATGGGTTGCACAACAGCCGGTAAGACTTATTTGTATTAAAAATTAAGCCGATTTTACTGTTGGAACAATTTTCTGTGTAAATAAATAATTAGAAATAAATTCAAACAAAATAAATAAATAACATACCGGATTTATTTTGTCGAACCAAATAAAAATTACAAGACCAAGTCGAGTGTGTGACACTCTGTCCTTAAGATAGATTCGTCTCGCTACGGTGCTTACGGTTGAGTGGCGTTTATCTCTCAGGATACAATGATCTTCAAAAACTTGTAGTAGCACTCCACACAAATTTTTACGGTTGAGTGGCGTCTATCTCCCAGGATACAATGATCTTAACCAATTCATAGTAGCACTCCAAAACAAATTGTTCGGCGAACCAAACCTGTGTTCTAACTCTCTGAATATTTATTCTAAAACTAAAATGAAGAATAATGCACAAAATAAAATCTGGACAGCAAAGATGGGATTTTGCAGACTGATTTTCGGATCTCAAAACTGTTGGACAGTGCTGGTATATATAGAGAGCCAAACATGTGCAGAATTTTGAACTGAACAGATGGGTATTTGAATTGAACAGGTGCTGTTTGAATTCAAACAGATTTCCAAACTGTTTCAATAGATAAACTGCTGGACAGTTATACCCGGAACTGCTGGGCAGTTTCTGGAAGTTAAATAACTAAAAACCAGTTTAAATTTGTTGAGAAATTTCGGGCAGAAGTTGTCTTAAATGTTGGACAAAAAATTAGAATTCAAATTTGAATTAAATTCTCGCAATATTATTTTGAAAAAATTCAAATAAATTTTGTTCAAAAAATTAATACAAGAACCGACCCGACCCACACCTGCGCCTGGCACGGTTCGACTCGGACGGCGATGGCGCGCGCGTGTGTGGTGGTTTGGGCTAAGGTTCACTTTGTCCATAACTCCCCCTTTCTACAAACTTGGGGTGCCCCTTGGGGCCCAACCCAAGTATTGTAGGTTAGAGCTTATAAACTCAACAAAACTCTCTTTAAGTTTCAATGTGGGACAAGCCTCTCAAGGAAACCCACATTCAAAACTTAAATGTTCAATTCCACGAACCCGAAAACGACGTCATGTTCCCATTCACTCATAAATGGTTTTGACGAACCGTCTTTACCGTGTGACTTGCCACGCGGCAAGGAACACTTCACCTCTTCGGACCCGTCCAAAAAAACGTTCGGGGCCCACTCAATTTTGGGCTCAAAGTCGGCCCAAAATAAGCCTATATAAACCATTTTTTCCAACAATCCACCACATGAATGGAATTTGACAGAGAGAAGATGCAACAACATGATCTAAATACAGAGAGTACAAAAATTGAAAATATTCTGCAAAGGATAGGTAGCTTTTGGCTTTGAATCCTCCCTTGTGAGACACCATCGGATTTACTAGCTAACCAGTGAACATGATGTCTTGAACTGTCCAGTTGTTTGTGTAAACCTGGATAATAGAACTCACACAGTATATCCCCAGACACAGTTTAGTTCTCACTATTGTGTTCATTTTAGCCCTGAACAACCTGGTCTTCCATGAGTACTCTAAAGACTTGTAGCCCTTCACAAATCTTATAGAACCGGCCCAGTTCATACTCACATAGGTGATTCTTATGAAGAGTATCCTGCCATACTCCACTAGGTTTACCTAGATATAAGAATCATTAAAATTTTACTTAACCTCAAACGCTGCAGACATCACTATTTCATCAAAGAAATGGGTAGGAGTTAGGCTCCCCAGTGATCCTTCTGTGTCAATCACAACTCGGTTGTCCCTTTGAACCTAGATCTTGGGATCTCGAGTCAACTAGGTTGGGTTGCCGTTGTGGTAACTCTTATTTAATAGGCTTAAGTCCCATTCCCCTCGATGAATTCTCAACTAACTCTCTTGCTAACCCTTTGGTTAGTGGATCCGCTATGTTGTCTTTAGACTTAACATATTCTATGAAAATAATTCCATTAGAGAGTAGTTGTCTCACGGTGTTATGTCGACGACGAATGTGTCGTGACTTACCGTTATACATATGATTTTGTGCTCTACCTATTGTTGATTGACTATCGCAATGTATGTATATAGCAGGCACCGGTTTTGGCCACATTGGAATATCTTTAAAGAAGTGGCGAAACCATTCTACTTCTTCCCCAGCTTTGTCTAAAGCTATGAATTCTGATTCCATAGTAGACCTAGCAATACAAGTTTGTTTGGAAGATTTCCAAGATATAGCCGCCTTACCAAGAGTAAAGACATACCCACTGGTGGACTTCGAGTCTCTAGTATCCGATATCCAATTTGTATCACAGTATCCTTCAAGTACTGCTGGATATCTAGTATAATTAAGCCCAGTGTTACAAGTAAATCAGAGATATCTTAGAACCCTTATAATTGCTTTCTAGTGTTCTACTCCCGGATTACTCGTATATCTACTTAATTTACTTACTGCATAAACTATATCCGGGCGAGTGCAGTTCATCAAGTACATTAAGCTTTCAATAATTTGGGCATACTCTAATTGAGAAATACTTTCCTGTATATTTTTAGAAAGGTACAAATTAACATCTACAGGTGTTCTAACAAGATGATCATCATCTTTGCTGAATTTGTCAAGTATTTTCTCAATGTAATGAGATTGTGACAAAGCATAACCTTCTGATGTTTTGATAATTTTCATACCAAGAATTACATCAGCAATGTCCATGTCTTTCATGTCAAAATGTTTATTCAACATTTTCTTGGTAGTTTTAATCATATCATTATTACTACCTATGATGAGCATATCATCTACATAAAGACATACAATGACATAACCTTTGTCTGCGTTTTTAATATAAACACATTTGTCACACTCATTAATTTTAAATCCATTTGACATCATTGCCTTGTCAAATTTCTCATGCTATTGTTTTGGCGCTTGTTTTAAACCATATAATGATTTAACCAATTTACACACTTTATTTTCTTTCCCTGGAACAGAAAACCCTTCTGATTGTTCCATGTAAATTTCTTCCTGTAACTCACCATTTAAGAAAGCGGTTTTAACATCCATTTGATGAATTTCTAGATTGTATAGAGATACAATGACAATTAGCATTCTAATGGATGTTATTCTAGTAACCGGTGAGTATGTGTCAAAGTAATCAAGACCTTCTTTTTGTCTAAAACCTTTGACCACAAGTCTAGCCTTGTATTTGTCAATTGATCCATCAGCTTTCATTTTCTTTCTGAAAATCCACTTGTACCCAAGAGGTTTACAACCTGGTGGCAAGTCTACTAATTCCCAAGTGTGATTTTGCAAGATGGATTCAACTTCACTGTTGATAGCTACTGTGATACCCCTGTTCTGTATTATGCTAAATTGGTCCTAAATCTGTTTATGGTTATGTGTTTAGCATGATTTTGTGTGCCATTATGTGATTTTGAATTCGTATCTGTTCATCGTAGGAATATCTATTTGAATAGCCTGCTTTGGAAATTAAATTGAGGGCCTTATCGGCCACAGAACCCGAAATTGATTACGCCATTGTGATTGGCATAATTTTTAGAGCCTACGATGAAGTTTAATTGAAAAAATTGATTTGGACCAAATTAAGTTGATTAAGTTGGTAAAATGAGTGCCTAATTACTCTATATTATTATTATATTGTGACTTAGTGAGGCTCTATACACTCAAATCCCTCTTTGTTATTCCTTTTGGCTGACTTAAACGCAAGAAAGAGAGAAGGGAGTCGGCTAGAGAGAGGGAAAAGAGGAGAGTTTGGTGTTTGGCTCAAATTTGTGAAGAATTGGAGGATTAAACTCAAGAAATTACTATAGTTTGGAAGATTGAGCCTCTAGGTAAGCATTTGGTCTTGAATTCATAAGTTTGAAATTGTGATCTTGTAAGTTCAAGGGTTGTTTGTGATCAAGAGCATGTAATAAGTTGATTTTTGTTGAGTTTGAAGTCTTAGAACTCATGCATGTAAGAAATTACTTTGAATTTGCATGTTTGAGCTTGAAACACATGATTCATGTAGAGTTTTGGTTGAAACTCATGTTTTGATCACCATTTGTACCATCTAAGTTGAGAATGATGAGCATCTCCCACATGCATGCACAAATCATGGGAGTATAAGTCTTGAATGTTTGAATTTGAGCATGTTGATGATGGGTTTGAGATATTTTGGGGCATGCATGTAGATAAATCATGAAATTGAGCTTCCTGATGTTGTAATCTTGTATTAGTAGCATGTTAGCATGTGTAAATGTGTGATTTGAGCCATTGCATGCAAGTAATGTAGCTAGGAAAGTCGATTTGGAGCTCAAGAACAAAATCTGGGAAACCCAGAATTTTGATGTCCGCTCGAGCGGAGTAATTGACGCTCGAGCGGGAAAATCGTGCCCCCAGCACTTTTGCAAAGTTGGATGTC